AAAAAAAGAAAAAAAAACTTAAACAGAATTTGAAAAACAACACTCAAATGCCAAACAAAAATATTCAACAGGTAAACTTTATAGTTTAAGGCATTGTGTCCCTTAAGAGGATTAAAAAGAACAACTCAAAATATAAGACATGCTCAATACACCTGCTTAGCTTCATAACTAAAACTAATAGGGCATAAGAAAATAAGTGTTTATTACTACCATTAGAATTTTGTTTGATCCCACTGCAACAGAAGAAGTGCGGCAGCTTGACCTGACCACAAACTCTAACAAGATAGCAAAAAGGCGGGGTGTGTAAACAGTTTACCATAGCATAAGTGACAAATCACTAACTTGAATTACAGAGGATGAAACCATTTTTATTTAATTATATTTTTTCCCTTCCCCGAGAATAACAACATACTCTCATGCTTTCAAACCAGGAACTGAGCTGATACTTGCATTTTAAGACAATTTAAAATCCACAATACACACATGATTCCTCACTACTTCACCCAAAAATAGAGAATATAAGTAAATGATTAACCCATAATTCTTAAATCGAAGTCGAGTCAGTTACACCATTCAGAATCATAAAAGGCTTTGTTGAGTCGCTTCATACGTTTCATGCTCTTCAATGATGAAGAAACCCAAACTTTAAAATGTATATTCCTTTCCTCATAAATCATTTTCTTGTTAATTGGATTGTTCAAGTGGTTAATTTGACAATGGTCAATAAACAATATATATATGTATATATATATATATATATATATATATATATATTAAAATATATATATTGAGCTTCAAACTTTCAGAAAAAATAAAGACTTACGTGCAACGTATGATTACTGGGACAAGTTTCAAAGCCTTTGGTCCATTTCTAATGCCTCTCTTGTCAAATAATTAAAAAAATAAAAGCTCGCCTTTTTTTTGGGGACAACCATGAGTTCCATGGCACCACAAGGAAATGGGAAACAAGGTAGCTCATCTTCACGTTTTTGTCGTCATAATCTTCCGGGAAAATCAACGGCGGCAGTGAGGTATTGATCTTAGGGTCGATGGCGGTCGAGAGCGGTAGCAGTCGAGCCACGGCATGGGCCAGCCGACGGAGACCTCCAATGGCGCAACTCGCTTTTCTCCCGGCGCTTTGTAGCATCGAGGCACGTAAAGTTATTGAAATGCAAAATCAGTAACGGCGACGATTGTCGGATAAAATAGGTATAGACAGGGTTTAAGTGGTGCACTCGAGGTATGAACTATACGCGAGTAACACAGATGTGAAGGAAAAATGATTAATCTATTGAATTATTATTTCAAAAAAATTATATATTCATATTATTTGTATATAATTTCTGAGTAAGCAACAAGTTAAGTCTAATTAATAAAACCACAATAAGTTTCCTCTTCATTTTTTCATTAATGTAAAACCATTATATTTTACAAAATATATTTGTTTCTCTAATCTATATATATATAATTGTTAGCATATAGCATTTAATTTTACCTATTTAATAAAACCTCTAACATTTTCCCTCCATTTTCGGTTACAAAAATTATCATTAATATTTTTTATTTCTCACATTAATACATCATAATGAGTATAATCATGTATTTTTCTATTATATTATATAATAGTTATTGCTAATATCAACTAATAATAATTCACAATAAATATAAATTACATAATTACGAACAATTGTTTTAAGTTATTTATTTTAACATCAATATTATCTTTTTCTTTTGTATCTCATGAAAAAAATTCTTTAAAAACAATTAGTAAATTATTTTAATAGCATAGTCAAATAACTTTAAAATCTTATAAACAATTGTTTTAATAATAATAATAATAATAATAATAATAATAATAATTAAACAGTTAATATCTAATGGTAATATACAATTTTTCATAATAATAAAATCGTTATTTTTTTCTAATAATCAAATTTTTGAAAATGTAATATGTTCATTATCTAAAATTTTAATATTAAATT